ATCAATAGAGTTGTCTCGACAAATAAATACCGTTAGGGATTTGCACTCGAAAGCATTGTAATCGTTGCAGGAATGAATTAACTAAAATAATATTTGTGTACTACATCGCCCACTGGAGAACCGAGTCATTAAAGAAACAAGAGTGAAAAAGATAGTGTTGGATTCTTGATGCCTTTCGCCGGGCGTGGTGTGCTCGATGAAAAGTTCCCCTCGACATTAACTGGTCGTAACATCTATATCAACGCAACAGCAGTTCGATCTGGAAATACCTTTGTTGCTTGATTCTGATGGTTAAAGCGAACGATATTTATATCTCAAGACGGCTTTATTGAGAATTTCGAAAACTAATGTTGTAACTAAGGCTTCATGTTCCTCTTAGCTACATGAAATATTCAGGAAAGATTGATTCGTTAAAAATATTACTCTTCCATGATCTTTCTGATACTTATTACCACATAGAGCAAAGGGTAAAATATAGATTTCAGCTCTCTTCGTTCGACCTGACTCTGCGTTGAATTGATGCACGGTGTACATATATGCTTTGCAACGTCACGTTATTGTCTAGTTTTTCAGGAAATTGCTTTCTTTTAAAGATGCATCTTGCGGCATTTCTCTGTTCTTATGGATACTTATCACCGAAAGACTTGTGAATTGTGAAATTAACCAGTGTTGTTGACTTAGTAAAGAGACTAGACAAAAAAAAAAGATAGTATGAAGAAAAACGATCCCAGCATTTCCTTCTTTACACTGTGCTTTTCATTGATAATGTAATGTAGAAAATACGCATTTAAGCTTCCTTTCTTTTTTTTCTCTGAGAAATACTGGCAAGGATAGTCAATCTGGTAAAAAAGCTATCAATGATGTAAGAACGAAAACTGTGATGCAGAGTACAAATGACGACTACACTCGCCGAGTGAAACTCAGGTACACGTGGCCCAAGCTCTCTATGAGACAGAAGCTTCTTACGGGTGTTTAGGCTCTCCTCTGTAACTCTCCAGGGGGAATTTTAAGTGACCAGCCTTTTCAAAGTCCTGCGAACCCGCGGTAAGATTTTCTTGTGAAACCTGGAGACAGTTACAACACGGTAGGCCTGGACGCGAGTCAAATCTCTCCCCAAAGACCAGCCGCTAATCGAACATACTAGACCAAGAATGACACTCAGCAACCCGTGGAAAGAAAAAGAGTAGTGGAAATCCCGCGCTTATTAAGTGTCTACAAGTCTTCGGTAGAATTTCTATGGATCGAGTATATTCCGATAAACTTAAAGATAACTATCTGGCTTTCGCGCTGCAGAGTACCGAAAAGTTATCCCTATAAATATCAACACAACATAAAATCGTTGCATGATATAATATACTTAAAAGATTATAAAGGATAAAGATAATTAAAAATTTAGAGCAAGTCCTGCTGTATCGCCATATATCTAGCTTTTCTTTGACATCTGCAACCATTTCGATGCCTTCTAGTAATTAGACTCCTGTTTTTACGCCAGTTTGGAAGGAATACATCGATAAATCAGAAATCGTATTGTGATGTTAATACCAATATCAATCAACTTAAGGGTTTAGAAATTCGTCATTCTTTGAAAAAACTGACTACTTTTAAGATTTTACAATCTCTTTTTTTTACACCCCGGCCTCCAGTTCACTGAGCCGAAAGTATGTCTAACGCCGAAAGCTGTGCAGCTGGTTGTTTACTCAAGTACACATCAAGAAATTATTCCAATCGTGTTTAACATGAACGGGTAATAATGCTGATGAAATATGCTTTTATTCATCAGGACCCAGTTTTTTGAAGCCCTATTAGCGCAACCTAAGGTTACATTTTAATCCGGGTTTCTTTATTCCTTTATTCAAAAGCCTTTTTGTGATAATTTTCTATATCGCTTGTAGAGCATCCAATCATCACATTCTTGACAAAAAGAATTCGATTGACTTCTGTTTTGAAGCTTTCAGATCTGAAATCAGTTTCTAACTAATCATGGGTTATCTTAACCCAGTTTTGAACAACCTCACCCAGGAGATTAAGGAAAAGTGTCTTAGTTAACAGTCAAAGTTGGTTATTGCTCTTGCAAACTTTCTGTGGCCAGTCTCTTCGTCGGTTATAACCCAAGTCCGAATTAAGATATTGCTACATATGTGTTAAATAGGCGCAGTTTGAAATACGAATTTATGAAGCTGTTAATTAGTCAATGGAATGAGGTAACGAATCTTAGCTTACAGCTACCCCAGGTGAGAGTTGTTTCTGTGTTGAATACGCATGGTTTTCAAAGCGGCTGATGACGAATACTGTTATTTATCATCAATATATTATTGTCAGTCCCTGTTCGGATATTACTGCCCTTCAAAGCGGCTAATGACGAATACTGTTATTTATTATCAATATATCATTGTCAGTCCCTGTTAGGATATCACTGCCCTTTTAAATTGACATGCACACAATATAGATTTGTTTAATCTTAGCTTACAGCCGAACCAGGTGAGTATTGTTGCTGAAAATGTCCTGTGACAAGTCCTTAAGCTGGTTGTTACTCAAGTCCCTGTTAGAAAAAAAAAATTGATACAACTGTGTTAAATACATACGGTTTTCAAAAATCATGACAGATACCTTTATCCAGAGATTATAAACCGCTTTTATCTCTTTCCGAAGTCTGTTCCACCTTCGCACAAATTTTCCACTTCATGTGCCCATTTTTTTTTACGTATTACGTTGATCAAGCTATCAAATTAATGAGGATGAAAAAATGGGAGTACGATTCAGCTGTGGTCAAATGGACAACTTTTCCAGCTAAATACGTGTATGATTTCACAGTTTATGAACCAATGATCTTTAATCATTTCTTTTTCGAAATAACTTGACGGTGAACGACATAGTACAGAACGCAGTAACTTGAAAATGCCTCAATGCTTTGTTACATATTTCAGTGTTAATAATAACAAAACAACAATTTACAAAAAGCGGCACTTAGTAGTAAACTCTTCCAGATTTACGCACCAAACAGTTTTACTCAAAGTCGTCCGTTTTACACCAAAAATGGATAAGTTGCACTATTGTTCCAGCCAGTGAGATGGTATTAATACCGTCAGACCTACTTTTTCACAGTTATGTTTGACTTTTACGGCTATATTTGAGCAGTGATATAACACAAGAGATAGTGCTGAATATTACTAAAACAGTTAAAATATATTAGTGTATATCTACGTTTTTGAAGTTCTCATGATTTGCTTGATATTTCAGTTTGTAACGGCTTCCTATGCATAAAGTACCAGGTATTTCGAGCATAAAAGCCTACTACGCCGTTATTGTTCACATTCTACAGAATATGTTCGTTTTACGATTCCACTTTGCCTTCACGAAGTCACGAAGTACTGCCTTTTTGTTTAGCTTTGTTCTTGTTTTGTGACCCTGCTGACATGGACCGGCATTGTATGATATACCACAGTTATGATATTTTTTAGTGTAGCCACGAGGTTAAAGCTTTGAGTTTACAAGGTACAGATTTTCTTTCAACATGGCTTGAGAGACTCGGGAGATAGTAGTTCGGGTCAGGAATGAACCCCGTAGCAAATCTTCGTTCAAAAAATTCAATATTGAAGAATTTCCGGTCATTGACATCGACCGCACCACGCAATGGCTGGTGTAAGATTGATTAAGAAGTCCCTCTTACTCTGTTAAGATGAAGAATGGCATTCATTTGCTTCATGATCCGCAGTTTAATCTGTAACTTACATGGCACCTTAGCATTTGATCTCTCATATATACTCACAACTTTGCTGTGGTTAAGGGAATTTTCCATGGAAATGACATCAATTCTTTTCCTTTACAGTTCACACGCAACAGACCGTATGTTCCCTTCAAAAAGTGGCACTCACAAGGGCCTGGGCAATCTGAATATTAGACATAAAGTATTGTTCAAATAGTTTAATCGCTAAAAAAAAAAAGTTTAATCTGCTATCACTGAGTTTGCATTGCAAAGGGAAAACCAACTTATTCTATGGTATTGAGCAAAAAAAAAAAGCAGCTTTAGAATGATAGTTTACAAAGGAATGCAGGAGATGAACTTCTAAACTAAGGCTAAATTTGAATTTGCGACATTTTGCAACTATGTAGTATCGACTTTGAACTAATTACTAACATACTCTTAAAACCATACCGAATCAATCGTATAGGAAAATAGATAGGCGTGTAACTATGAAAATGTCCTTTGCTTCTACTTGGTTCTTATTTCCTCCTTATTCGATATAACAATCTTGTCAATATTGGGATTTAGAGAATTCAAAATTTAAGGTAAAACAAAAAAAATTCTGATCAAACTGTAGCAGTGGGAGATGTTCTTTCTGAGAGGCTGAACAGCGCTAAATAATTAGAATAACTTTTAAAAAATAGGTCTCGCGTTCCATACGTGAGATAAGATGAATGTTTCTATTGCGTGAATTAAAAAAGTGGATATAATAAAATGCTCCTCACAAACGGTATGACAGAATTAATCAAGAATCAACTGATTAAAACAAATTGGAAACTAAAATTACAAAAACTGATCACAACAAATTAATTGAAACAAACATTGTAAATAAACATCGTGCAAAAATCCTTACTGGTCGGAGGCGAACCATTTGGCAGTTTACAAAGCGCGGCAAAACAAAAAACAAATCCGGTGAGTAGCAGGATGGATAGCTTGAACCCAGACCACTGGACTACAAGCTTTGCACCGTAACCACTCGGCCACATTTGCCTCATTCCAAACAAAGATTGTCATTCTGATATAGCTGATCAAAGAAAGCTTAATCTGAACGAAGAACTGTTTAACATATTGATAATCTATCGCGGTCTAGAAGAACGGGGCAAATTACGGGAGCGACTACATCGAGGGTGGCGAGCCGTGGAGGGATACTAAGAAATTAAACAAGATATTAAGAAATTGACCAAATAGTACAGATTCAGGCATCCAATTAAAAAAGTGACATGGTTCCATTACACTTGTGTAAGGAATAAAACTCACCGTCAATGTTGAGGCTAATTTCGCTCCTTGATACGTTATTATCTCTTCGTACCTCACAGCTGTAATTCACATTCTCCTCTGCAGCTACAAGCTGATATCTTACGCTGGTACTATTTTGAACAACAACACCATTTTTTCTCCATACAATGTATGGAGCTGGCGCACCTTCCACCGGGCACCACAGGTTGGAGGTTCTGTTCAAAATTACAGTCTGTGTCTTGGGTACTTGGGTCATGGTAGGTGTCACTACATAAAACAAAAAATAATGATAATGATAATAAAAAATGTATTAAGGCAAGCAAATGCTAGATGAATAGTCTGTATCATACAGGACAAGCAAACCACAGGCATAATATATAAAGCAAATACATTGTGTATGGACAATCATATTTTACTCCAAAGTCACGGAGAACTTCTTTCGGTGTCTCTCTTTGTCTGTCTCTCTCTTTCTCTATATGTGGCTGTTCGTCTGTCTCTTTGTATATCAGATAAAAAGCTACTTAATAAGGGAATAAATACTGTTAAATACTGTTAAATACTGTTAAATAGTAAGGTAGGCCAACGATATATTTCCTGAATATAAATTGTTATATCATGAAGTTCCAATTGAATTTAATTATTTTAACTACATGCTTTAATAGAAAGTTAACAAGAAAGATCGTGCCTGTTTGATTGGAGGATCTTCCCTTGTAGTATGCATTAAGATTATATCTGCGATAAGGGAAAAATCTTAACCGCAAGTATCGTCCACTGGATCGCACTACAGCAGCCTTGTGATCTCCACAGAATACACCAAGAACGTTGGCTAACTGATTATTGCCGTCACGGATCTCAAGATAGTAGTCCTGCAGACACGGTCGTGGAGCCCACGAGGAGCTGCGCATGGTAAAGTTCAGTTCCACGTAGTGTCCTTTTGGAGCTGAGAGAACATGTGACCTCCAAAACGAAGGAACTTTATCCCATCCTTTTGCTTGTTGAGGATGTTTCAACAAAACTACAACAAATACAATAAATCAATTACTTGGCTTCCAAAAACAAAAATATAGATATCATACATCAAGAGAAAGAAAATGTATGCAATTTTACGTAACAAAGGTTGCCACATTAGACCTCATCTGATCTCTGTCTTACAAGTATCACTAGTCCACTAATCAGATATCAGATCACTAAGCTAACAAACATCTATCGCACGACTAAAAATTTAAATTTTATCTAGAGCTCGAGTTCAACGGGCTTTAGCTAGCTATTATAATACTGTCTTCCATTCCAACCAAGAGCTTACAAATTCTTTGCATTTGCCGTTAGTTTTTGATTGAGAAAAGTGTTTCAGAGGATAAAGGAAAGTGGTTTATTTATGAATTAGAGGAATAGTTTATTGACGTCATCTTATTCTAGCACTTTACTTTGAAGTTTGATTGTACAAGGTAAATGCAGAGGCAATGTCTTTCACAAGTACAGTCTTAAGCTCAAAGTTGGACCATGTAAACGCTTTGGGCACTTCCTCTTACCACTGAACCAGCGTGCACCATATGTTGCATGCCTAGCAGTTTGATATTACACGCAGATATGAGAATTTGTGGCTCTTCATGATTGTTATATTACGATTAAACACTGGCGCATATTGCGGTTCAATAAGACTTGACATAACAATTGCCAATAGACTCTCACCCCCACTTCGCAGTTTTTCTCATTGCTCTATCCATCCATTTAACCTTGCACTCTCCTCCCTTCCTCTCCTCTTTTCCTCCCTTTGCTCGTCCTTTCCCGGGCCTCCCCAAGCATCTTACCCTTCCTCCCCTCCCACACTACTCATGGGCTCCCATTCCATCCCATTTGCCAACAACGGCAAATGTTTATCATTAAAGCAAACACTTTAGACAACAGTTGTGAACAACTGAAGTGCTTACAGAAAAGGAGGATGAAACTGCACTTAGCCACTGAGGGTACCATCATGACGTGTTTCAGTTTGTTTTCTGCAAAAGAAAAGGAAGAGTGTTTAATTTTCTCTTTCAATTTTTCAGCAAAAGAGGATAATAAATTGAATCTTTTCAGAGCAGCTCGATGTTTTATACACAAGCTTCTGGAGTAACACTCTTAAGATTGTAATGAATTTGTCGACGTCGGCTATAGAACAATCGGAATCCTTCTGCAAGAAACCAAAAAAAACTTCAAAGATTTTCATAGCGCTTTCTGGAAAGTTAAATTTAAAAAGAAAGTCATTGTTTAACCTGATTGATAATTAAGATATTGGTTTGCCATTGTTTATCTACAGTGCTCTTTATCACTTGGATCATGCAGCTCAAAGTAAAAACTCCTTTTCCTATAAGAACATTCCCCTTTTGTAATTTAGAATAATAAAAATAAAATTTTGTTTGTTGCCTTATGACTCAAGCAAAGAAAATTACGTCAAAACTAATAAATACAGCCACTCAGTAACCAATGGATTCTTTGTCTATTGTTCAGTCATACACAGCTAAAAGTTATACACTCTAAAAATAACAATAACAATATATGTTGAGACCTTGTAAAAGTGACCCTGTCTTCTTGTTTTATAACTACCGTTCATACTTCGAAGGACATTTGAATATTGTCATAAATATTTTGGTTTATTCTAAAATCATAAACAGAATATTCAACTTTACATCAAGGTAGGTTTAACTCCCGAAAAATTTCAATTCGTTCATTCATCTTGCACATTGATTAATTTTTTCCAACATTTTAGTGTGTTATTTACGAGAGAAAAAATGTAGAACAGAGAAAAAAAATATTCGGATTATTTAACAATGTATTTTTAGTTCTGCTGTCCTGATTTGTGCACATGTCCTGATGTATCAAAAATGGACAATTTCATGCTCAACCGAGCTAAGAATTATCCTAGTAAGCTTGAAGGCATCAGTTTTCAGCCAATAATTTGCATTTCATAACAACTGACCTTCTGAGTAATGGCAAAAGAAAATGAAATGAAATGGAAATGGTTATTTTCCTTTTAATCTAAAAGAGACGAGAGCATTTTGCCTCGAATAACTGAAATTTGATTTTCGAATCAAGAGCAAACAATCTCACATTTGGCGCAGTTATAGGTTAAATCAGCCAAAAATATTCGTTTTTTATTATTGTTGTTGCTGTTGTTGTTTGTAGAGAAAGGAGTATAATTGGTGACTTTGACTCTTCATGTACAATGTTCCAGAGTACTCTAAGATATTCCAGAATATTCCATTTTGCAACTTCCTATGTTTAGTCATGTAGCACGGTTTTAAGAATGGGATATGTTGTAATTATTTAGAATCCTATTCTTTGGGGAAATGTATTAAAAGTTTTGTACTCTCTAGTTATATGAAGTCTCCAGTTTTCTATATTCAATATCAGTTTACTTTGCTTGATTGCACTAAAATTGTCCAAGAAAAAAGCAAAATCCGAAAAGGAAAAAAGTCAGGAAGGAATTAGTTAGCACATAAAATGTCCCTCTGGCTTTATGCCCGGTAACCGAACAATTTCATATAAGTTTCACCAAAAGGCACGTACAAGATGGTGATTACGGATTTGAGTAATTCCAAAAATGTTAAGTCAAAATCTATATGCTTATGTCGTAAACTGCAACCAGTGGGACAATTCACAAGCCCCGAACAACCGATTACTTCCTCTAAATTCACATTGTTAATCCTTGCTTGTTTTGGTGATGATCACTGATTATTTCTATCGAATTAACGTGGGATTAAAGTGTTTTGAGTTTGTTTAAGTAAGCACGGACAACGGTAGAAGCTGTGTAGTTTGAATGCAGTCTACAATCTCACACTCCAAAATCCAAATTTTGCACCAACGGAAATCAGTTTGGGTGTGGCTCATGCTCTATTGCGACCACGAACAGATACATTTTGATAAAACAAGTGAGAAGGTCCACGTGATCTAACAGTGATGTTACAAGCTGTCAGTCTCGTAACCTTTTTAACCTTTAAAATCGACTTCAAAAAAAATAGAAAGACGGTGACATTTTTAATACTTAGCCAGACGACGAGCATTCTTATCATCACTCGTTGAAAAAGGAACAAGGGATTTGATGAATCGCGTTTTTCCCACTACCCTCTTTTCTGAGAAAGCGCTGGTATGGTTGAGAGAATTAAGGATTTATTGTTTGGAAGTAAACAGTTATAGACTAGGGAAGTTATTTATAGACTAAAAGTTATTGAAACTATAGTAGTTATTACGTCTTCCTAAAGAACATGTGGACAAAGTGTGTTTTTCTTTTTTCTATTTTTTTAAATTTCCTTTTATTTCCATTGATGCTGAAGAAAGAAATGTTAATGTCGACAAAAATAAAATGGAATATTGGTAATTTTTAGAACCCGCATCATCCACAAGCTGACTGCTTCTTGTCTCCAACTCAGTTTTCATTTGACTTTCAAATTTTTGGTTTTACAAACTAATCGCCAATTTTTCCTCTTTTTTGTTGTTGTTATATATTAAATGTAAAACAACAATTTAAAGTGGACGCTCCCATACAGATATTTCCATTCTGAAGTACGCAGATCTCAATACTAAATCTTGATGTGTTTCGCTAAGCATTTGGACATTTTAACAAGTTGATTGTTTTTGATTCTCGTCAGCAGTTTACACAACATTGTAGTAATGCTTATAGAGAGAAAATTAATTTTGATCAGTTTTACCGAAGTGCCGTGTTTCCTTTGTTTTGAAACCACTAAGAAAGTTCATTGTAAAGTTCATTTTTCGGTGATATCACAGAACCTAAAAAAACTAGACGGACCGAACAACAGATTATACGTTCCAGAGATAAATAGTGAAGAATAAATATTCCGTTAGAGCACAAAGCAAACACATATTTATCAACAGAATCGACATGTGTGCCGGAAATGAAGTTATTTTGCGATACACAGAAAAATTGCTCACCGTCTTAAATTAACAATTTTTGCTGCAAGAAGGATAAAATAATTGACTACTAAGGGTAAAGGAGAAAGCTACAAAGCTATTACATTAAGTACCTGAATATTGATTGTCCCTTTACACTTTCAGAGCCTGATCACATTTATCCACATAAGCAGCAGAGAATAAATACACAGAAAAGTAAAGGTTTTTACAGCTGCTGTTAAGTGTTGTTTCAAATAAATTCAGAATTAAGACAATAATTTTAATCGCGTGATGCGTTTAAGTCACGCGTTATAACAATTCGCTGAAAAACGTAACCTATGTTCTTCTTTAGGAAATTAAGACTGAAAAAGTCGTTGTCTTTATTCTTGGCTAGCCAGAACAATTAAAAAAAGAAAAGGGAAACAAATTTCCGCTATCAAACCTTTGCATTATTTTGCGCGCGTTAATTTATCGTTCGCCGACTTGACATTCCTGTCACACGAGGAAAATAAGCTTCACCAGCCAACCGAACAACCATAAGGACCATTTTTTACAAAGGGACGCTATCTGAATTTTCGCTATGCAGTCAGGAACCTCCACAACACGAATTTGAAAGCAACCCATTTTGTTCGTTGGCTTCAAAGGAAACTAATACTTGCAATTATTTTAAAAAATGCTTCGATATGGATTAGACATGAATAATAATTTTGAGGGCGACCTGCGAACAGACTCGGAAGATGAAGAAGAAGAAGAAATAAGCGATTTAAGTACAGTTAACCCAAGCTGGCAGGATGCGCCTCAGCAATTATGTAAATATCTTTACGCCTAGGCGTCCCAAGCTCACGTCAGGAGAAAAAGCAAGTGATTGATTCATGAAAGCGTCATGCGCTGTGTGACTCGGTGTTAAATTGAACGTTGAGAATTTGAACACGTTGTAAGGAATAATAGCGGAGCTCGCAGAGTGTAGCCCCATAATTATACAAAGTAGTAGTAACCCATCAAGCCGAAAAATTTGGATGTACGACCGTACGACCGTACAAGGTGCAACTTTTAACATGCGTGGTCAACTGTACCGCGGGCACGCCAAGGCCACGGCTTTGTCCAGTAGTCCAGTGGTCAGTGCACTGGGCTCCGAATCGGACGACCCGTGTCCTGGCCGGGGGCAAGGCGTTGTGCCCTTAAGACATGCGGGGAAAAAAAAAAAAGCGAGCTCCGCTTTTAGGCTTGGCTAAATCTATATATTATAGGGAACGAAATATGGTCGACTAACAACGATATATATATTTCGAAATATTATTTTACGCGTAAAATTGGTAGAATCTACTCAAATCTTGTGTGTCCGTTGTGGTTTCTGGCGTTCTCTGCCGTTTTAAGCTCGCTTTTCCCACTGTGGAAGTCAACTTAATTTCGTTAGTTCGTGAAAAATCGTTTGCTTTTTCGTGACGTGAGCTTGGGATGCCTGCTTTACGTTTAGCAGTGGACGCATAATGAGGATTTGAGAGATAAAATAATTTTAATTTAGTTCTTAAATTAAAAATCTGAATAAGTTTTAAATTAAGAAAAAATACTTTCCTCGCTCTCATAGAGTTGGATTTTTAGGCTATTTACCAGGCTGTTTAGTTCGGTTCCGTTTATCTTCTCTAATTTCTATATAATCCTTTCCCGGTATAATTTCGCTCCGAACGCCGCAATTACAACGAAATTCCACATACGTGACAGACAATGATAGAACTCCATAATTTCGTAAATGTGTTAATTAACAAAATGAGGATGGTAAGAAAAATGCTCTGCATTTTTCAAACAAAACGCGTATAATCAGTGACTTAATTCGTATTGACTACCAGCAGAAATGTAGCGAATTTCTTTGCAACAAAGTACAAACATTTAGCCTTAAATGTAATATTGTGCTCCATGATAAGGGTCTGGAGTTCACTGATTTTTTGTTTTATCTTCCTATTAGAATGAATGGACGGCCGATCGTTTCACGTTTTCGTTGATGTGGGATTTTCCTGACGGAAAATCTTGTCTTTTTTATACTTATTTTTAACATTTGTGTCATAAGATTGCGAGTATTGAACTTCTGACGTTTATTTCCCTTTATCTTGAATTGACAGTCGTTTCATTTTAATATTTATGTAGTTTGCATGTTATTTTTTCAGACAGTAACAAATACAGAGGAGCTCATGCTATTAAAAGGAACGAATGCCATCCAAATGTCATTTGCATAAATAATCAGGGCTCATACAACTGCTCTTCAAATCCTAAACAGGTCTGGGATGACTTTACCTTTGAAGGTGTATGTTCAGTATCTGCCATTTATTTTCGCATTTTTTTAAGTGGGTATTATATAGACTTGTTATGCGTTGCTGCTAGATGGCCATTGTCGGCCATATTATTTGTTTGTTAGTTAAATATCCTAGTTGTACATTTAGTTTTTCTAGAGTTCTTCTTTTCATGCGCTATTTCTGAGAAAGAGAAAACTAATTTCAGAACCTGCTGTCCACAAAACTATCTGAGTTTGATTTCCAACATCACTAATGTCAGTCTCGACGTACAAGTACGAGTTAAAACAAGTACCCACATAAGTACCAGTTAACCTTTTTTGGATTTCAATTATTGTTCTTTTAAGTACTAGTTCTAAAGCCAAGTTACTTTTTCTGCTTTCTACGCAAATACTGCGGTCTTTGTCTTGACATAGTTGTTTTTCTTTTTCCCAGTATTTTATCACCTTCAATTGAACAATGAACCGTGAGAGCTACACACTTAACAAACACTATCGAGAATAGGGTCAACATTTGGAAATTAAAGTATAAGATGTCTAGGGTTTATCATGAAAGTCCCGCCATGTCCCTGATACGCATAATAAACTCTTTGCAATAGGATAAAATTAAAGAATATCTAATCGAAAGAAAACAATTCGAAGATTTCAGAACATTCGCACCGAACTTTTACATTTAATCAAAGAATAAATTTTTGACGCGAAATAATTTCAGATCTAAAGAAGTAATGGTCGAAGAAAGCTCAGAGAAATAACACCTTGCAACGACAATTGCTTTATGAGAACTGTACGTTTTCTGGTAAAATTTTTTTCTTACCTTTGCAGGTATGTCCATCTCCAGAAAAACCGGCTCTGCAAGAGCAGCGATACGATCCCAGAGTGTTTTCCCAGTCAGCGTTCACATCACAAACACTAACGCAGGTATTACATTCGCCTGTAGATGAATATACAAAGCGTTTAGAGCTACAATATACATTGATCATGAAGCACAATTTTAAGCAAATTATTGTTCAGATCCTCTTTAATCAAGTTATTCGCCATTAAAAAAAAAGGCCTAGAGTGTGAGTGTCAAACAGCTTTATCGGGCAGGCTTTCCAAGAGTTTCTATGTATATCATTCCAATAACATATTGAGTCGTTGCTTGGTGTTGGGAATTGAAGCAAAGCATAAACAATGAGTTCACCTTACTTAGTAGGACGCAAACGAGTCAAAATTTATCAAATCCTAATTTGAAAAAAAAAGATTCTTAGGAATATGCAATTCTTGCAGTCATCTATTGCCGTACATGGATTAAGATATACAATATATAAATAAGAGAAAAGATAAGATTAAAAAAAAAGATCTGCCATGTTTCGAAATGCGCGGGCGCTTATTCGTGGGTGATGCGATTTAAGTTAATTTTAGTCTCCTGCTGTTAGATTAAGAGCCAGCCATATACTCTGTAAGGGCTGACAAAAGAGTTCCTTCCTGCTTCATAACGAGTTTCCGAGGAAGAAATCTTAAACGACTAAGAAAAATTTATCTTTTCTTTAACATAGTAAGTCTTTTCCTGGTGTACCAGGAAAAGACTTACTATGTGTGTTTCTACCAAACGATCAGGCTTACGATCGACAACAAGATAGTATTGTACCTGACAGAAAAGCTTACCGTTAGCTTTTACGTCATGTGCAATACTTTTTAGTGTATATCCATTCTGTTTAACTTTCTTCCTCTACCTACGGTTTTCATTTCACAGTGAGTCAACACGGGAGTGTCAGGTTTGATGAAATTCTGCCAGTGTTTGCCGCTGACCACCTGTCAACCTTCACTCGCCTTGATTTCCTTGCACAAGTCTGCAGACAGCTCTGGAATGGCACCGAGAATAGCTAGAAAATAAGAAAACGAGAAAGTACAGAGAAAAACGCGATGTCTTCCCCTTTAAGACAGTTAGCCGAATCATTTTGCCTTAACGCCCACCTCTACGTATCTCGTCTGAAGTAATAACTCTCAGAGTTGGGTACAAAATCTTCAGGTCCGGCTTCCTTTATGCGATTGCTCAACTCACACTTTTCTTGGATGAACACATAGTTAAAGCTTTGGCATCTGACGTCACGATAAGATTCCCGCAAACATACATCATTGATTGCTCCTCCAGAGAAGGAGTTTCCGCGTGAATCCCGGTGATACTGAGTATTTACTGAATGAAACAATACCAACAGGATGAGGAAATCTGGAAAATGAAAGAATTCTTTGACCACCATTGAGGTTAATCTCACCAGAAATGAAACAATGAAATTGAATGAGCATAGTGACAAATATGCCGTCATCCACAAAAACACAGCGAAGAAGGTAATTGCGAATGGAGGGCATTTAATGCTTGGCTTTGTTTCAAACATATGACATATGGCACGCGGCACACACAACGTGAAATATGACACGCATTCATATTAACAGCATAATGCGAGGCGGTGTGCGTGAGATATGGCACGGGTAAATGGGACACGGCTCCTAAAACAGTCCCATTGCGCGTTCTTCTTTCTGCACCATGACAATGTTTAAAAATTACAATTATTTTATTTAATAGAGACAGAGGTCGTCACTCCTAATGCATGAAAAAAGGAGCAGAAAAATATACATAAATTAAAGTAAATTCTTTTATTTCCGATCCATTTCCTTCAGTAGCAGCAGCCATTTTGCTGATCCAAATAATCCACTTATTCTTTATAAATAGAACACTGTGTTGGTCGCCCTTAGCGACGCTTCTAAAATTGCCAAAAATAATGCATTTCATAAAAATGAACACGACTTCTTTTCCACGTAATTTCTATCAGATAAAAATTAATTTTAAACAGCAGTTCATTTTCCCAATCTGAACGTAGAAGTTACTCTTACAGAACAGAGGGTTAGTAAAGATCCCTATAGTTTTTTCTTCTTGCTGGTTTATTCCATTATCTTCATTTCACACGTAGATTAGATCAACCAAGAAATATTAACATTAAACCAAGTTATGCCTTTCAGTGCTTCTCTCCTGGTGTTGAGAACTTTAATCTAGTTTGGGACTGGCAGTCAGTTATTTTTGAAAATGCCTGTGTGCAGTGTGAACAATGACATTCTCCTCATCATACATGTAACATTTATAATTCTTCAGATGTCAGATTTTTCGAAGTTGGCTTTGGATGTTTAGGTTTTTTACAAGATATGGCTATAACATCAAGAAAATTCAGACCCAAACGGAACACAATAAACAAATGGTCAATGTCCGCAATCTGAAATTTTATGGGGTTTGAGAAAATCCTTTGTTTATTTGGTCAATTCTACAATCTCGGGTTCATGTCAGGATAGAGATTCATACTGAGCTGAGACTACATGAATGACTTTAGGGTTGGTGTTGACCTAATGCTATAAAGTAGGCTTGTATGCATCGGATGTTGCAAATTTTCTGTCTGCTCAATCTGGTTTAAATCAACATTTTTCAAAACTTCTGTCATATCATAGAATCTGCTTCTGTCTGTGAATTAAACTCCTCCAGCCAAAGACAACGATTTCACAAAAATGAAGCATGGTGTTGGCAATACTGGCAGGTACATGCTCAAATGTACGAACTTAAGTAAAGATGCAACAAGACACTTTGGAATGGATTCTGACAACCCACATCATTAGGAATGAAAAAAAAAAAAAAAAAAAAAGGAATTTGATAATTTCATTTTTCCATAGTATACTCACACTACTTGCTGCAACAAAAAAAAAGAGAAAACAAACAAACAAACAAACAAGATGTCAGATGATAATATATTAGTAGTATAACATACACCTGTAGTTCAAGTAGTGGTGCAGTGTCCAGAAACATTCAATATATGCATGAAAATGTATTTGAGTTATGAAAAAAAAGGCGAAAAAATTATGTAATTATTAAGTTTAATACAATGTTTATTTACCCTGATAACGATTCCTCAAAGACTATCTTTAGTGCTGTATTGTTCTTTTTCTAATTCCATTTGATTATCTCACCAAATCCAAATTCCTGTGTTAGGCAATGATCAGCGTTAATTGATGATCTTACATTAAATTGTTTCCCAGCAACAAAAATCATTCCCAACAACCCTTGGGCCGATCGTACAAAATTGTACGACTCCGTTAACCTTTCGAAAGTGCTCGTTTTACGTCCGATCGTTCTGAAATTCCGACTGTAGTGTGTAGACATTCTAAGCCAATCACATGGGGAGTTTTAGCTCCTAACTATCAAACGTGACCTTAGCAGCCCCTTCCGAAAATTAGTTCCATACGATTTCAACGTGGGAAGATGGCATCCGATGCGAAGCGTCAGAAATACAGCGTAGCCGAGGCTTCAGAGGTGACTTTTGACGATGGAAGTGAGCATGGTGGTATGTCTAGTGGTGAGGAGTCCGAATTAGACAGAAAACTGGAAAATCTTAGCGAAGAATCGAGGTAAGTAATCAGTAAACATTCTTGCGATATTCAAATAGGTAAAGCATGTGGTCTTGAAACGGTGTAAAACCACACTTACTTTTACTTTTCGCGCTCGAATCCTTGTTTCTTTGCCTTAAGACAAACCTGTAGATGTATATTTGTGAATGTAAAGCAATATGTATTGTGATCAAACTTGATTTTAAAGCGACAGAGTAAATAATTTCCAATGGAATTTTAGAACGCAACGCGCTAAATTATAAGCTGATCACAGATCGAATGACGCAGTGCGCAATCAAATCCTTTATTTGAAAACGATTATTGTATATATATGTATGGACCTCTATGTTAACTCATATGTTTTGTGTGTTTTTTTTAGAGGTGGTTCTACTTGTTACATGCTGAAATTCACAAAACAGACAAATTATGCAAAAAAATATGCGTTGTGAAAATGTTTTTAGTGGAATGATGTAAAATGACAGTTTCGGGTTTCACTTCTGAATTGTTTTACTCTTGGAAAATATTGGTGGTGCATTACAAGTGAAAGGCTTTTGATATATGTTGTGCTTTATTATTTTGAGGTTGACTATCTCATTTGTACTTGTTTCAAGGCAAAATTTAAGAAATCAACCAAAGAAATTTACATAATATTTCATCTCTTCAGTGAATCGGAAGGAGACATGGGAGAGGTTAGGGAGCATGAAGAAGATCCTGATTGGATTGAAGGAGAAGTTTCAGAGGTTAGTGAGATTGAGAGTGAGGGTGAGATGGAGAGTGAAGACACTGAGGTTGGTGTTTCTGTTGATCCAGTGCCTTCCACATCCCATGCCACAGGTAAGTTTTACAACCCTGCAAGGTCACGTTGTCCTCTCAGGGCTAAAAGGGTACCTGCCAGACGAGGTACCCATGGTGTTCGAGGTGCTAAAGTTTGTGCTTTAGTATCTCCAGGTTCTACAAGTGATCGTGGTGGTAGTAGAGCCACAAAACATGCACCCCCAACCCCAGAGGACCCTTCCTCAGAGGATACTTATAAATCATATCATGATGAGGATGAGGGAAATCCCTGTGATCAGTTTCCACCCCCTCCCTTTACACCTGCACGTCCTCTTGGGATACAATTCGAACAGCCTTTGCTCAGGGGTAGGATGAATACTGCTGTTGAGTTTTTTAAATTATTTTTTACTAAAGAACTGGTGAATAATATTGTTGAGCACACCAACAGCTATGCTGTTCAACACATTACTGAGGGTACCCATAGGAGTTATGCTCAAGCAGATGGATCATGGAAAGACACAACACCAGAGGAGATATACCGGTTGATAGCCCTTCTGATCTATTTTGGTTTAGTGAAAATAGGTATTACTATAAACAGGTATTGGAGTACCAAGACCCTCTACCATGGTTTATGGGCAAGATCCATCATGCCCAGAATACGATTTCAAGGGCTCATGGCCTTCTTGCATGTTGTAGATCCTGCATCTGAGACCCCCAGTAACAAGTTACGTAAAGTAGAGTCCCTTGTTAACTATTTTAAATCTAGATGTGTTGCTTTGTATCAGCCCAGAAAACATGTGGCCATTGATGAGCGTATGGTCAGGTCTCGTCACAGGTCTGGCATCAGGCAGTACACAAAGGACAAACCAACTAAGTGGGGAATAAAACTGTGGGTACTCGCTGATAGTTCTAATGGTTATACTGTAGACTTCAACATTTACATTGGAAAAGATGCTGCAAGAGGGATAAGTGAGTTTGGGCTTGGGCATGATGTTGTGGTAAGACTTATTAGTCCCTACTATGATCAAGGTTATCACTTGTTTATTGACAATTTTTATACTTCAGTTCATCTCATGAAGCATTTATTTCAGCATGGAGTCATTGCTACAGGTACCATTTTGGATACCAGGAAAGATTTCCCAGCAAATCTCAAGAAAGGAAGCAAATGGGGAAAGGGCAAAGCCAGGGGTAGTATGCGGTGGCAGAGGGATCCGCCCTGCTTAGTCTTGCAGTGGGTTGACAATAAAGTAGTATCTATGATCAGTACTTCTGGTAATGCTAATGACTCTGTGCAGATAAATCGTAAAATAAAATCTGGTGGTGTGTGGAGCTCATTAGAGGTACCTCAGCCTCAGGTCTTTGCAATGTACAATCAGTATATGAATGCAGTGGATCGATCTGACCAGATTCTGGCCACCCACAATGTGCAACGCAAATGTATGAGGTGGTGGAAGACCTTAATTTTTCACCTTATTGACATTGGTGTTGTCAACAGTTTCATTCTTTTCAGAGAGCACCAGAGGAACAATCCAGATAATCCTGCCCTCAGAAGGACTTCAGAGTATTCGCTGGGTGACTTCAGGGAGGAGCTTATCCGTGGAATTTGTGGTTTTCTTGATTATGACAACCCTCCTGTGTCCACTACAGGCAGACCCCCAAGACCAGCTCCCCGAACCAGCCAATTTGTGACAGAACACATTCCACTTCAGGGTGAGCATAGGAGAAACTGTGTGGTCTGTTACAGGGAAGGTAGGGGTGAGGTAAAGGTGCAAACCTACTGCAGTGCACCGCAGTGTGAGGGAAAGTATATGCATGTTGCTAAACAGAGAAACTGCTTTGCATTATTTCATAGTGCAGAGTATCACCTTTCCAATCCTTGAACCTTGATTTCCAGTTTGCTCTGAAACCCTCCATGTGCGAATGTTGTGTTTTACATGTACATAGGAAAACAAGATAGGAGAAAATAGGGGTAAAAAAAATTTTTGTTTTGTCATTGCTTATGCTTTAAACGTTGTGATGAATGCCTTTTATTATTTAGCTGTGGGGCCTGCCTAGAGTTGGCAAGGGTGAGATGAGGGTGCCCCACACCATTTTTATTACCAGCATTTTCTCGAAGGTAAATACACACCACTCAAACTACATGAGAGAAAAAAAAATTCCATTTTATTAACTTCAATCAGTGTTCAACAGATTTTTG